GTTATTTTTGTAGTGTCATTTGTTTTTGAAATAGGCCAAATTATGGGGCTTCCCTCTCCCTCAAGGCTTACAGGCGGCGCGCCCAAGATTCTGAGGTGAAGGTTGTCTCTCTTTTAAACTGTCAGTCGTCAACCATAGTATTATTGAATTTTCATTTTCCAGAGTTCATAGTGGTACCTTCTTTATAGTTTTACGTGATTTGTGGCAAAGACAAGACCAGGCTAACAAATTTATTCTACTTTATGCGTGGTGCGACAATCACCGTGGCTGACTGGCCTCCAAAGTTCCTTTATAATTTGGACGTTTCTCAGGAGTTCCTTCACTGCTTGTAATCCAGAATTGGCGATTCTCAGCAGCTTGAAGCTCTTGCTTTTCATCAGTTGTTCCTTGGACGGCGACCTTTTCTTGTCCCGAGTACAATATCGATTCTCGATTCTCGACTTTCGATTACCGTATCTTGCTGGTGCAAGGTTTCGGCAACGGGACCAGTACTAAAACCATTGCAGGAATATCACTGCCAAACTGCGCAACAGAATGCTTGAAAAACCTCTCCGGTAGTTGAAAAAAAAGAAAAAAAACCTGCGATGTAATTAGGTAACTTAATCATGGTGTTCAGCTTCCGGTTTATTCAGCTTATTGCCAGTTGTAGGCAAAGTTCACGCGCACATTATCGCATTCTAACTGGGTCGATTGTGAGGAAACTGTTATGTCAGTCATTGACTAAAAACCCCCGCGCGTTAAGCCTTTGTGCGACGGACGTCCCTTAGAAATATAAATTGCCCACACTGATCACCAATTCTACTTGCAAAGTGTTGCTGATTGAGTTGTGTAATGTATTCTAGAGTGTAAATTTAGTACTAACCTCGCAGACAAGGATGCAATGAGACATTTATTTTGCGTAGTTAGGCCTGCTATCCATTGGGCAACCATCCCTTTTATTTTCTTTCGATAGCCTGTCCATGCACTAACCTTTGGGTACAGAAACTAGCTGCTTCTCGCTGTACCAAAACTTGATAGTTTTGGCGTTCAATATTTTTAACGGATGCTCACAAAACACCGGGACTGCATCGTGCGCCTTTGGCGCTTTGGTATCCTGTGAGCTTTGGTTCATCGCGTTTTGAAAGATGGAAATTTTGATATTCCCGCGAAAAAGAAGACCTATAAAACGCATCTTTCATTGACTATAGTGAAACGCCCGGAAATGAAGGATGTTTTGAAAGAAACGGGAAAACTGATAAAAGTAAATATTTGTTTTAATCAAGTGAAATTAATGAGAAATAACCATAAACTAGTTTTGTGTTTTTGTTTTTTAAAAGCGGTTTGTCTGGTACCAGATTTGTACAATTACTTTCAGTCAAACATGGATCGGGTTTTGTTAATTATGACAGAATGTAATTAAAAAGCATTATGTTGACAGCTACAAGGCACATGCTTGCCTTAAGCTGCGAGTATCCCGCCATGTTTTAAACAAAGGGCCTCTGACCAAGCCGGCATTCTAATCCGCCACAAATATGTGAAGCACGCGTCTTTCAAAGTCGCCTAGTACTTAAAATCGGCGCTCTGGCCTGTTATGGTATGTATGTATGTATGTATGTAAAAAAAGTGACTTTTTTCGAGGAATTTTGCTATCAAAACTGTTCAAGTATTAGAAAAAGTATTACTTTAATGTTTATGAGTTCCTCTAGGAGTAAATTCACGCTTTTGTAGCAAAACTCGTTAACAGATGTTTCTGTTGGTTTCCGTCCGCCATTTTGGAGCTCATGCAGATGAGCTCCAGCATGGCGTCTCCATACAACTGGCTCTATAAATTTGGGTAAAACATTTCCTCGGATATCTCGTAAACGAATTATTCCTTCGACCCAATTCTTGGCGAGGGTCTTTGCATATTTACCTCCTTTCATTTCCCAGATTCTGGACTTTATCTGTCGAATGGTTTTGAGTTTTATTTTGATCTATTTTGAATGGCGTGACACTGAATATGTGTAATTGCACGTTGTCACTAAAGTTCTTGGTATGTTCTAAAGATAGGGCATACAGCGAAAATAGAAATCAGAGAATGCGTCAAGTGGTCGCTTACAGGGGGTTAAAAAACATTGGAAAATCTTTAACCGTCAGGGTCAGAAAGTGGTCACGGTCGCTTATATACCGAGGAGGTGGTAGTTTACAAGAGGTTCCAACTGTAAGGCTTTGACTGGGAAAATTTTGGTGTTTTGGATTGGCGGTCGCTTATGGGAGACGGTCGCTTACGAGAGCTGGTCGCACATGGAGGTTCGATTGATACCCTCTGCTGCAGCTCTTGATTCCACCCATAATGCAATTTTTCTCAGCCCTTCAATTAATTGAAGGCTCCTGACAACACTTCTTTTCGATGAGCGGAAAATGCTTTATGAAACTTTTTTGACACTTGGTCTTTTCAGACTGTTGTTTTGCCGAACCAGCGATCAGGCAGTCCTTTTTCTCTTTTGTTTGGGAGTCTACCAAACTATGACAATGACGGCCG